CTGCAAAGAGTTGGAAAAGAATGAAAGCAGTGAGACATGGACATGCGAGCAATTCGGCTTGCCCACAAAAGACACCGAGACCTACATGGTTGTTGCATTCTAAGCGCCACTCGCATGCCTTCGAACACCCACTCCCATTCCCACTACAGCGTAGCTATCGTGTGCTCCACCAGTGATCTGTAAGAAACAGAACAGACTTGATGGATTACACAAGAGCTTCTGTTGAGTATGCTACGTAAAATGAATTCGACATGGCCGCACGTTGGCCTCTAGGGAAAATTTGCCATTCACAGCTTGCTGCGGATCTACAACTCCCAGCTGATTGTGGGCTTCGATCCTTCTCTTAACACTCTCAACCAGCAGTCCCAATCCCGGCTCAAAATCTTTTTGCGATTCCTGGCCAACCCAACTCGTCAGAATCGATGCAGTGGTCGTTTAACCCTGAAGGCCGTCATCCTTAACGCACGCACGGCTGCTCGAACACATGCAGTCACTACAATCTGCTGCAAACGGGTTCCTCGTTTCTGGTGCTGCAAAATGCTTCAAATCTCTGTGCAATGTCTAGAAGCTCGGCGAGATTTTCGACAACATCTGGCCAGGTGTATGGGCTCTGAATTACACCTGTAACCGGGTGTAAGGGCAACCGTACATGACGGTGTATGCACTACCCAATACTCCACAGACCCGAAACTCCCAAAAAGGGACATGCACCATCCCGTTCTCCACCACATCATGCCATGCTCGGGTATCCACAGCTGTCGAAACTTTTGATGCTTGGATGGATGTATTCGGCCCATCGTGACCATGGTGGCCTGGTAGTGGGTAATTTTCGCAACTGTTCTGCGCATTTCCGACACCGTTCCGCGAATCTCCCCTGATGCTTTGGCTGCCATGACAACGGAAAACTGAATCCCACTCAGATGCTGTGACACGCGAGAAAGAAGGATTGCCAAGCCAAGCCGCGCGAACACCCTCTAAGTAACAGGTTCAGGGCATCGTGTAGCAATCTGCACAGGGAGATGCACCACTATCAGAGCGCAACCTGCAACCGAGCCCATGTCGCGTTGAGCAGAGTGTACATTGCTACATCGTCTCATCTAATGTCAAGCGAAAACCAAATTAGTGTCCATGCTACATCAGTGTAGCAGAGGCTGCATGTGGTACCAGCGCTGATCCCGCAAAGCCTTGAAATGTCAAAATGCATGTCTGTTCTCTTGTCTGCACGCTGTTTGCATATGAAGGGTTTCCAGGTTGGGAGTGCCGAGACTTGAATTGGCCCGGCGTATGCGAAGCTGAATCGCAGAGCGATGGTCTTGCCAATGAGCTCTGTCTGCCAGCCAGCAATGCCGACTTCTGACTCCAGCACCACAAGCTGCACTAGCCTGACTACCTGGTCGCTGGAGTCCGGGACAGTCGGCCGACAAAATTCGTGCGGTCGGAAACAGCCCCAAGCTAGTAGGTGGGACTAACAGCCAGTGCACCAGCTTTCGAAATGTGAATTCTGCAGTCCTCACCGGCTGCGTCTGGATGCAAGTTCGCATTTCGCGTAGCGCTGTGTTGCTCCCTTCCAATGGGAAGCAGCACGGGTCACTCTTGGAAATTGGAAACAAAATCTCTTGATACGAAGCCATGAGTCGCGTGTGTTGCCTCACTTAGCTTCGCACCTCTGCAGAACGCCTATGCTGAAAGAATTCGGCTTCAGTCGTGGTGGCATGCTCAGCAGGAGAGCTCCGACACGCCCCAGGAACGGCAATTCCTGTCAATGGAACACCTGCTTGCCACTGCTAGTCGTATCCAATTTCAAGCACTCACCCAACAGAACAATCCCGCCCCATTCCTTAAAACGTGCCTCTCCACGCTCTGCGGCTTCAACGGCGCCGGCAGCATCAGCATGTCGGTGAGCCGCTTCGACTTGGCAGACTCGCGGACTCCTTCTTGCCATGCATTTCAGTCAGGTTCGGGCTTACGGAGAGGTGTGCCAGGTCACCTGCTGCCTGCTGCCAGAACCGGAACCCTGAAACTCACCGTGACTCACCCTTTCCATCCAACACACGATTGATTCATGCTTGGTCTGCTGGTCCTTTCGTGAGCAGCGTGGGCAGAGCCCGCACAAACTCGAAGCAATGTGACCTGAGGATTCTAAGTCACTTGCGAACCGCCAGAAAGGCCTTGCGTGCTAGCATGGGACCGCCAACAGCCTCGCGCGCTACATGCAGGTGCGTGAGTTCACAGGGCGCTTAGCATGCAATGCTCTGCGATGTCTCGCCGTCTCGGAGCACTTGTCGCTTCTGCCAAGGCACTTAGACTCCAAGCCGGCCCAGGAGACAGAGACACGGACTTTTCCGGCATCTGCGCGGGAGGCGGATTCCACACAGTCTCAACTTTAGCTGTTAAACAGCGGCGCCATGCGACGCCACTCTGACCCTCGGTTGGGACTGCTGCACGGGATTGCTTGTACTTTGCATGGTATCGAGCAGCTGTAGACTTCGTGGTCCGCGTGGATCAACACACCAAAACAAGCGGCCTTCACCAGAGAACTCTTGAGAGACTCGTAGCTTGGTGAAGCCAAGCTGTCCCAGACGAACTTGAAGTTCCCTCAGGAGCTTCTTCTGACCTCCCATCGCAAAGGAGCAGCTTCAGCCTTTTACGTAGCATGCGTCTGTGCCTTCTTGCTGGTGTAGTGACGGCAAGGCGTCTGTCAAAATCTCGGCCGAGTATTCACAGCGCTTGCTGGCCTCGAACTCTGAAAAGTGCAGAAAGCAATGTGCCGGAGAAGGCAACCCTGACGCGTCCGAGCGGCAGTGACGCACGTCGACTTGATGCTGGCCACCTGTGATTTCACCTCACATCTCGTTCATCATCTCGTGCATCGGAGCGACAGCGGCTGCAGCTTAAGCGCTGGAATCGGCCGAGTTGCCCAGCGCTCGCTAGTCGCAGCATCTGCGGCTTCGCGGTTGGCCTCGCAGCAGCCACTGTGCAAACTGGGCTGTTGCACCCGAAGCAAAGGATACGTACGTGTCCAGTTTCTGAAGAGAACTATAAGACTGAAGGCTCAGCTTTGGACGTTCAACCCCTACAAGGTTTGAGGATAAGACCTTCGAGCTTTCAAGCTCGTCGGGTGGCTTGGATTGCTCTCAAAATCAACCATGTGGTTGCCTGATTCGCGACGAGGCTTCGGGAATGATGCGACGTTTGCCACTTCTCCGCAAACGTGTGAATGTGCTTTGCCTTTTTGCTGCGCCTGCTCCTGCACTGCATTGATGGCCAAAGACTTTGCGAAAGCCATGATGAACCTGTCAACCAAGCGCTTTGCTGAGGTTCGCTAGTGCTGCTGTTCTGCGCCGCCTGTGTCGTCGCGATGCTGGGTGCAAGAATCACTGACCTTTCTTTTGTGGTAAGCCGAAAAGGGCAAAATGCTGCGGTGGGTGCTGGGTCCACTTTCTCAAGTTTACATGCACAATATACATGTGTATATATGTATACACACATATATACATACATATATAAGTATATTATGTAGATATACATACGTGTATTTATCTTTGCTTTGCTACAGGGATAAGGCACAGGCAATCCATGGAGCCCGCGCGTTCGCGCATCCCCATCCCCAATTTTTCCAACCCTCAATTTTTCGAGGTGGGGCTCGGCTGTGCTGAGTTTGCACAGGTGGTATGCGCTTTGCAACGGCGCATCAGCCCGTGTTACATGAGTATGTGTGGAAACAAGCAGGCAGCAAAGAGGTATGACAACAAAGTCGTGTTCCTCGAGCTCAGGGCAAGTGGATGGTAACGGTTATTGGCCCTCCACTCATACTATGTTGGGTTGGGCACGACACTGTGATTATTAGCGATAGGCAGTTCTCGAAAAAGGATAACAATTTATTTTTGCTCGCGGGTCCCGGGCCCCCACCCCCCCCCCTTAATACCCCCGCCACCCGGTACCCCACCCCCAGTTGCCCGTCATTGCTGCTGCGCGTAGCATCTTCGCTGCATGCAATGTAAGAGCGCGACGCAAGAATGACAGAGCACATGCAGAATCCACCTCAATTTTCTCTCTGCATGCCGAAGTCAGCACCCCTCTTGACGCCTTGCCAGAAGAGCTTTCGCCTACGGTGCATGCGCCCATACTGTTGAGAATTCAGGAGGCATAGGGAGAGCTCTTGGTATTCGTAAGCCTACGGGCGAGATTGAAGTGACATTCAAGATTTTGACATGTGGCCGTAAACCATTGCAGTCATGGGCTGCAATGCGAAAGCTCCAAGTGCCTTCTATTCTAATTGTCCTGGAGGCCGGTCCAGACTGGTGTGTCCCAAGATGTTTCACATCGGGCACAGACAGGCTTGGGTCAAACCACCGGAAGGTGTCAGAGGGTCCCTACCCATGCTAGTCAGGCGTTGGTCTAGACACGACGAAGGTCTCCATGATCGATTGCACCGACCATGGAAGCTGAACACTGCGCGTCGTTTGATGTTCCAAGTGGAACACCAAGGTTCACTGGAAAACAGACGTCGTGTGCTGGACGAAGATGATGTGCAATTCAAACACAGAACTATTTGTCGGCGGCCATAAAATGGCGGATCGAGCTTGATGCAGGTGACAGCGAGGCTTGTGGGAGAGCCTGCTAGGTGTAAATAGTAACTGTCACCAGCTGCTTGGACTCCATCCGAAGCAGCATGGGGCAAAGAGACTTATTCACCGTGTAGCTCTCATTATATTGAGGGGGCCAACGCGGCCGTGGAAGTCGCACTCTCGCTGTACAGTAGCCAGCAATGACCCGACCAGTACTGACGAGCGGATAGTCGTAAGCTACTGTATCTGCAGGGGGAATGTCTGAATACTTTCTGAAGATATCGGAGAGAAGCGCATGTGAAAAAGCAGGCAGGCTCACTGCGCCAGGCTATCAGCTCTCAAAGCCGTCTCGACTTGGTTGCAAGTGAGACAGGTAGCTTCAAGCTCCCAGGTTGGAAGCAGGATAAGTTGGGTTCCTTCGTAGTGGCAAGCTCAGCAGGAGAGCTCCGACGTGTTCCAGGGACGGCAACTCCTGTCAGTTGTACACTGCTTGCTGCTAGCCCGCCCACAGCACTTGTACAAGCCTGCACTCATTCTCCAAGCGAGCCTCTCCGCATTGTGCGACTTCAGCGGGAGCTTCAGCGGGCTGGCGAACCGCTTCTCAGTCTGGGCAGTGCGAAATCCTTCTTGCCGCGTCAAAGTGTCACAAAAGAAACAAGAGTACTACCATGTACTACCTCACCCTGCCGCTTGAACCACGACATGCACACTCCCACTTGCCACATCGACTCTCCAGCAACACACGAGAAAATGAGATCCATCAAGAAATCGAAAGGTGGTCCTTTGGTGAGCAGCGTGGGCAGAGTCCACAAGAAGGCACTGCAAGTGCAGCACTTGGGCCTCAGGAACCGCACAGCTTGCGACCTGCTCTCTAAAGCTTTCCACAGAGGGCTCATATGCCTTGTGGCTCCAATCTCTGTCCGTCTTCAACTTCTCTGTGTCTGCGTACCGAGGCGCGAAGGCTTCGAAGGCTCCAGGCCAGCCCAGGACATGGAAACGCGGGCTTTTCCCGCATCTGCGGCAAGACGAAAGCATGCCAAGTGGGTTACAGCAGGAAAACGATGGTCCAGTTAGATGTAGGTCCAACTCGATTTAGAGTTTAGAGCATTGGCCTAAGGCCTTGCATCTTCAGGGGTCTGTGAGTGGACCTAGTCAAGGCGGTGGTGAGAACGTCATGTCAGGCACACGAAGTGTTCAAAGAACAAAAAGCGGCCTTCACCAGAAAACTCTTGCGAGACTCCTAGCTTGGTGAAGCCAAGCTGTCCCAGTCGAGCTCGAAGTTCCTTCAGGAGCTTCTTCTGACCTCCCATCGCGCCGGGGGACGCGGGCAGGTCTGCTTCACAGCTTGGGTTCTGGCATCGGGTGCGGCTCTGTCGTGACAGCTTCCGTGCCTTCTTGCTGATATAGGAACGGCAAGCTGTCTGTTAGGATCTCAACGGAGAATTCACAGCGCTTGCTGGCCTCGAACTCTGAAATGTGCAGCAGGCAATGCACCAGAGAAGGCATGCGGAATGCGTCCGAGCCGCGGCTACGCAGGTCGATTTGATGCTGACAACCTGGGAGTTCACCTGAGCTCTCTTGCAGCAGAGGCATCCGCAACTTCAGAGCTGGAATCGAGTCGCCCAGCGCTCACTAGTCGCAGTATCGTGGGCATCGCGGTTTGCCTAGCAGCAAGTGCAGACGGAGCTTTTCGCTGCATCTTAAGCAGTGTCCCCCAATAGGGTTTGCTTAGCTTTTGGTTTAGCCACCTTGAATCATGATCCTACATGCATGGAAGACTGCAATCACCGAAGCTGCTCCTTAGGGTCCACTGATTGGCTTATCAATCTGCTGCGCCTGCTCCTGCACTGCTTTGATGGCCAAAGCCCTTGCAAAAGTCATCCGGTTGACCTGTCAAGCAGGACACCTGCTAAGGTTCATACGAGGTGCACTCTAGACGATGCAGCCTTACAGTAGCACTTACGTAGTACCGGCAAGTGCCTGCGGGCTGTGCGATGACTGCCAGGGTGAACCGGCTGCCCGGTGACTAAGCTTTAGCCTCGCTGGCCGGCAGAGGAAGCCAAAATGCTGCGGTCGCACAAGTTTGCGTGCGTTGCATCTGCCATGATCCGTGACTTCAATCTGCAGCCTCTTACTGGGCCTTCTGGGAAGGCTGCTTAGATGCAAAAAAGTGTATCTGGTAAAGACCATTGTTGCCAGTGGCGAGATCCTGGACTCTGACAAATTGCATCTTTGCATGTCCGGCAGCTGGCAGAATGCTGAAAGATACCCGCACAAGCACTGCAACTGGAGTGTAATGCTAGGCGTCAGGCAAACCAGGAGAACTCACAACAGGAATCCTGAGCATTCTTGGTCTGAGCTGCCACTGCACGTTCGAATGTACATGCAACAACCAGTGAGACCTGCACTCGCTCTACCTGACAAATGTACAGCTGGCAGGAGAAGATCCTATTCCAGATATTCTTCTTGATCGGCGTGTTGAACGTGTTGTCGCTCATGTTGGCTTCCTTCAGCCATGCAGCCCGCCAAGAGAAAAGAACCAGCCGAAGAATCCACGGGCTGGCGACGAGCATGCCTGGTTTGTCACCGGGTACAGGTTTTGGAGGTTCCGCACAGGCGAGAGGGATAGGAGAGGATTCTACATGTATACGTTAATGACAGGACCTGTTCGGCATGGCAACAGGAAAGGTCGGGGATGGAATATTCAAGGAAAAAGTGTGCGCTCACGCCTGAAGATTGAGAAAACCCGGACATCTCCAGCCCACAGACACAAGTACGGAGCTTATGTCCTCCTCGTACTCTAACATTCTCTACTCGTGTCTCCATGGGCAAAAACCAAAGCGAGTGACGGAGTCTGTATTGCAAGCCGAAGGACCAAAAGCCAGACGATCCAATAAGAAGAGGAGCCCTGCAAGATTTCCGTGGCATGGAGCTGGACGCAAGCTACCAAAAAGCGGGGTGCGCTTCTTGCCCACCAGGAATGCTACGCTGCTACAGTGAGAGTGGAAGGCGCAAGACCTGCAGTAGAAACATGCACTGTGCAGCTGAAGCTCAGAGGAAGCTCAAAGGGCCTCTGGTCTGGGTGGAATCGCTCTGAAGCCATCGAAGCAAAGAGAGGTGCAGGCCGACGAGGCTCAGCCATCGAACCTACCGGGTTTGAAAAACACCAGGGTCCATTGTATTAGGGTGTGAGCAGTAGTCAGGTTCATGTTTTGCAAACCCGCAATCGGAGGATACCAAGACAGCCTGTTTCATGCATTACCTGTTTGAAGCACGACTTGGTGGAACCCTGCAGAATCATGCTGGCCACAGGATCTTACGGCCGGACTTTGCGAGTCTTGGACCGCTGGAGCGCAGGTATTTTGCCGCTTGTTGGGTAGCGCCTACCTGAAGAAGCACCGGACTCTGTCTCAGCCCGGCGACTGCGTTCCACATCCGTATCTGGTCGGCCACTGTGTCGTCCGCCTCCCGATTTCGATTTCGAGCTGGTCTCTACAGTAGGTCGTACGCTGGGAAACTAAAAGCGACAGTCTGGCAACTTGCCTGGCTCGTGCTTACCATCTTCACTTACAGAGCTTGTCAAGTCCAGGACTCCAGGAACCAAGAAAGCCCTCCAGAACAAGCCTCTTCCCTGCCTCCGGTATATTGTCGGGCCCTGCCCCTGTGTAGCAAGCTCCAGGTAAGCCCAGCAACCTGCAGCCAGAGGACTCCCATAGGCCCCAGGTGCCGCGACCGAGGAGCCGCTAGGCCGCTAGGCTGAAACCGCGGTTTTTTGGCGATGAAAATTTAGACTTAAGGATGCTCGAAACATTTTTTCCGGGTATTGTACCGGTACCAGTATGGCGATCACTGCGATGATGGTCATGTATCATGACATATCTGCATGGGGTTTTTACGTCTATGAACAACTAATAAATAGAAACAAATAGTAACATATAATAATAAATGAGAGTCAATAATAATACATAATGAAAACTATGTAAAAATTAAACAAAAACAATTACTAACTGATGCTGTAATACTAGTAACTACTAACCAATAATACTGCAATAATTAACAGTAGCCGGCAGTCCTCAGAACTGAGCAATCCAAAGCCCAGGGCAGCAGCCAAGCAAACCTCAGCTCCGCTCACGGCAAGTGGTACTCTTAGCTTTGCGCAATGACGGCACTCATTATAATATATCAGTCTATTACTATATATCATATCTATAAAAAATGTCTAACATACAATATCTATAATCCATCATATATATATATATATATGTGTATGATCGGTGTGAGACATACTGCGAGCAACTAATGGTAGCGGTAACTATGACGATCCCGGACCTGACACTAGATGCTGGCCAGCAGCATGAGACATTCTGGCATGCATGAGGCTTTGCGGAACGCCCAGGCCAGGAAGGGGCCCAAAGCAAAGTTGAGGCCTCGGAAGCCGGGCAAAGTTGTTACAGGTACCATGCACTTAGGGACCGTAGCAGCTGACATCAGTAACACCAATACCACCAGTCGTCACCTTCATCTCCTTACCCACGATCTTAGTAGGCCAAGGTTAAAACACAAACCCAAAGGCAGCGGCAACGACAAGTCCAAGAGTGCGTTAGGCCATGAACGGCGCGGCTTTGGCCTTCAGACAGTTTCTCCGGAATCTCTCAGCTTCAACACAGAAAGCAATCGTGTTTGTTCGATAATAGGTCTCCATCAGGCCAGGGAGCAAAAGTGCGGAAGAGCTGTCGTGAGCGGAGCTTCCAGTTGCAGACCTGCACGCAAACGAGTGGGAATTTGCAGAAGGCTCGCTCCTGATGGCGGCATTGCCAGCTGGAAAGTATAGTGCTGCAGGTGGTGTGAACCGACGGCAGAAGCCGGTTCATGATGCATGACAAGCTTCTGGGATCTTCTGGGCCTTCAGCTGCCCGCCGGCACTCAAACACCTCATGCAACAATTATCCCAGAGCACAAGGGCCTTTCTCGGAGGTGGGAGCAAAGCTTTGAAAGCCGGGGGAGTAGATGCAAACACAGCCAGCAGTCAGGCTGCTCTATGTTGCCTCTGCCGTAAGCGCTGTCAACCTGATGTCCCTCGTACTTACTAGCAGTAAGTAGTATAGTAGTAGTAGTAGTAGTAGTAGTAGTAGCAGTAGCAGTAGTAGTAGTAGTCGTCGTCGTCGTCGTCGTAGTAGTAGTAGTAGTAGTGGTAGTGGTAGTGGCAGTGGTGGTGGTAGTAGTGGTGGTAGTGGTGGTAGTAGTGGTAGTAGTAGTAGTAGTAGCAGCAGCAGTAGCAGCTGCTATGCAAGGGGTCCCGCTGCAGAGTTTCAGGTATTTCTTCGACGAGCAGCCTTGGGTGTAGCGCGCTTGTGTGGTTTAATAGTTTGCCCGGGGCAGAGTAAATAATTGACCAGCGCTTCAGTCTGACACGTCGAAGGCTGTCACCGCAGATTTGCGGGACCGAGAACTGTAAAAGACAACCCTGAAATTCGCGCATGTGCGGGAATTCATCTGATCGGTTTTGATACAGTCGTGCACGGACCTTTCACATGTGCTGAGGATACAAAGGCTTTTCATGCGCACACGTGGGGTGAGTATTCCTCCCATTCTGCTACCCGACTATAGTTCTTACGTCGTTTGCTTTGCTGTCATGGTGCTACATTGCCTATTTTGTCACTATTCTGCTCCTGCTCCACCGGCATCAAGAAATCATCAGCGAACTTCTTCTCCCTAGGTTCTACATCTTTACATAATGAGTCCAAAAAATGGTAGCACCACACCTTGAGATGCCTTGCTAAACCCTCAGAAAGCGCCGCCTGCCGAGGTTCGGAAAGGCCCGATACCACGCATCGCAGCAACTGGCAACACAGTCGACTCTCAGGGTTGCGAGTACCATCCGGACGACCAGAAAAGGCTTCTATGACAGCTAGTGGACCCTTCCTGGAATCATCTCTCCAGAAGAAGCATGAGGCAGAGTTTTGAGCGCATCTGCTTGATCAGTAGTAGCACGAGCCCACTCTCTTGGCCTCACCACCCCAGACTGCTGTTAGCAGTGCGGCAGCACGGCTGCCTGGTGACGCTTGCATCAAGATCGGGTTTGCTTGGGATCGACGACAGGCGGCAACATCTAATGGAATCGCGAATGCGCAGACCTCCAACCTCCGAAGCCCACTCCGGGAAAGGATTCTTGGCAAACCTCGTTGGCCGAAGCTCTCCAGGACGGACAGAGCTGTCAGGACGAGGCCATGTGTGAGGTCGGCTTCCTGGGGACTTTGCCACATGCAGCAGCAAGCACCAGCATACTGTCCAAGCATGCTCCCTGCAATCAGGACATGTCTTCAGGAACCAGCCGACATCAGCAACCTCGGGGAACGCCATCAAAATGTCCTGACTGCACTGGTGCCGCGATGAATTGCATGTTCATTGCCTCCGCTGGCAAATGCAGCTAAGCACTCCTGGCCACTGCACATTGAAGAAGGCTGAACACTGGACAACAGTCTCCTTGAAGCTGAAGAGCTTCACGCATTCCTTCCACCGTCGAAGACGGTGTGTTGCAGTGATTGGCAAGTGAGCAGGCACAAGGGCTTCATGTACGTTTGTCCTGACTGTGGATGACTGTGGCATTGCCTATCTTGATCTATGACATTTATATCTTGCACATCCCGCCAGAAGCAACATCCGCTGGCCCAGCCTTCCCAGCTGTGCAGCGTGATGAAACGCAGTCGATGTCCAAGGAATCCGTCGGGAGGGCCCTCTCGCTGACACTGTGGTCGTGATGAAGTGTTAGATCAAGTGGTTTTCGGTGAGAAGTTCGTGGGGTTGCAGCTTTCAGAGGTCCTGCAGCAGAGAAGCTGAAGAAGACGGAAGGTTGCTGACGTCCAGATCTCCGGCCTGCGCTGAGTCCAGGGCCCGGTCGTGCGGCTTCGCAGCGGGGCAAGGCCGCAACTCGCCAGGCGCAAGGCCAGGCCTACCTCAGCAAATTCCCCCCTTAGTAGCCATCATGAACCCCTCTCTGCTTCAGTCGAAGGGGCTGGCGCCACTCGTAGCCACTTGCGACAGAGGCGGCCGACTGCATCAGCTGGACCTTCTTCGTCGTCCATGTCTTCGTGCATGCTTGACGAACACATGAATGCCCATCAACAGAGTGGATGAAGCAGCACTCTGCAGCGAACCACCTAAACCGCTCGCTTCAAATCCGGCCTTGAGCC